CTCTGCCACTGAGCCACGGCCTCTTCCCATTGAGGAAAGGTCACCGCAAACTGACCCGCTGTGGCCATTGGGATCGAAGAGGGGACCCAGATGGTGGTTTTTGTAATGACGTTTCACACACAGGCACCACTTAAAACTTCCTTTGCCGTTCATTTTTCCCCCCCAGAAACCTCTGCTTCGGGAGGCTGAGTTGTTCCAAATACCTTCTCGGCACCACCAGTAGCGGATTTTTGTGCTGTTGGAACCTGCTGAGCTGCACCTGTAAGACCATTTGGCTTTCTTTTGTGTCGTTTCTTTTTTTTCTTTCCTAAGAACTGCTCACATTTAACCATAACTCCAAATGCATCTAGTTTTCATTATTAACCTGGCCTGTCAGGCTCTCTGTGCATTTTGGGGTTGACAGCAGTGTTCCCTCTAAGCTGAGTTAGTGTGAGCTAGCTCACCGTTTTTTTAGCCTCCGGCTCACACATTTTTGCCTCGGCTCAGGAAGGAGGGCTCCAGAGCAAACTAATTTATGCAGCAGCCAAATTGCTCACTCACAACTTTAATGCCAGGAGCTCACAAAGTAGAATTTTTGCTCACAGGGCTCCACAGCTTAGAGGGAACATTGGTTGACAGCTCGCCCGTCATTGAGAGGGGAGGGTCCTCTCTCTCCCTCTCTTTGACGTGTCTGGGGCTTGTCACCTTCGGGATGCCAAATGTCCTGGCTTCTCCAATGTCTGTGCTATTCTGTGCTCTTGTTTCCTTGCGATGTAAAGGCTACATGCCTATGGGGGGGGGAAGGGGGGGAGCTGACCGTTAGTTTTGGCGGGCAAATGTTGGGGGTGTGTGTGATTGGGTCCTGATCTTTAGCGCTTTTACTTGAATTCCCTATATCTGTCACTTTCGCCCGTTTAACTTCAGTTCTAACAATAGATGTGTCCAGGAAGGCATCTATCAACTGTCTCAATAAAGTTAGCTTTCTGCAAACTGGCGGGTGTTGAGAACTGATTTAACCAGGAACCTGACACTGCCAGTCATTGGGGAGAGAAGTATTTTGGTGATGGTTTATATGCAAAAGGATACTAAACGTCTTTATTGTCAGGGATCAGATGTAACTTTTTAAAATCTAGAATAGGGGTCCCCAACGTGTTGCCCGCCGAAATGTTTCCTGGGGGGCCCCCGAGCATTTTTAGAAAGTGGATGGGGCCACGTGAGCCCAGCAGGATTTCTGATTGGCCATTAAAGATCTAATTGGCTGCGCTGATTAAAATTGCATTGGTTCGATGGCTGCTTGCCACCACAATGTTGGTTTTAGTCTCTCTCTCTCTCCTCTTTCCAGTTTGGTGTCGTGGTTAGGAGCGCGGACTCAAATCTGGGAGAACCGGGTTTGATTCCCCACTCCTCCGCACGCAGCTGCTGGTGTGACCTTGGGTCAGTCACAAGTTCTCGCAGCTGTTCTCTCAGGAGCAGTTCTCGAAAGAGCTCTCTCAGCACCGCCTACCTCACAGGGTGTCTGTTGTAGGCAGGGGAAGGGAAGGGAAAGGAGATTGTAAGCTGCTCTGAGACTCTTTCAGGTATTGAAGGGCGGGGTATAAATCCAATCTCTTCCCAGTGTATTTTTAAAAAATTACCACTCTTTTCCCTGCACATGGGCTTTCTCTCTGTGGCTCCACTTCCGCCTCTCATGGCAGCCATCTTGTGGTTACGCTCAGGGCCTTTTTTGTAGAAAAAGCCCAGCAGGAACTCATTAGCATAATAGGCCACACCCAACAGCTGAAACTCATTAGCATATTAGGCCACACCCCTGACTGCACCACTCATTAGCATATTAGGCCACATTCCCATGTTACCAGGTGTGGTTATCCAGCCACACCCACCTTTTGCTTCTTATTCTGTTTACCTTGTTTGTTGTCAAAACCCAGGGCCTTTTTTGTAGCAGGAACTCCTTTGCATGTTAAGCCACGCACCCCTAAAGTAGCCAATCCTAATGAGTTTCTGCTGTTGGCCGTGGCCTATTATGCTAATAAGTTCCTGCTGGGCGTGGCCAACTCGGGAGCCAGCCGGAACTCCGGTCCTGTGCAAATTCCTGCCCAGAAATAGCTCTGGTTACGCCCATCGTTCTGTGCCAGACTTCCAAAGGTGTCCATAGGCTCAAAAAGGTTGGGGACCCCGATCTGGAATATTTTAGTCTATGCTGTTTAACTCCACTTCTGAAGTCAGCTTGCCTGAATGGCTTGACTTGGACTCATAGCTACATTTCTGAGCACGTTGCCTGCATTTCGCCTTCCTTTCTAGTAAGATATTTTCTCACGTGTCTGGCTCCCTGTTCATACCTGGTTGTTTTTTTCGTTCCTCAGTGGAATGGAGCGCCCAGTTAAACGTCCAGGTCCTGCAACCCGACTGTCTGTCCGAAAACGTTGCCGCAATTTCGTGCCTCTCGGAATATTCGGACTGTGAGTACAAAGACCCCTTTCACTTCTGCCAAAGACGACTGACCGCGGCTACATAAACCTACAGCCTAGGAAAATATTTTATTTCCGCAGAACAGAAATCCACCTGAAACAGCTCTTTTAAAAATAGGAAATGGGAACTATACCATCTGAGTCAGGTTCCTTGGCTCTTCCCAACATCGGGCATCCGCCCATCAATGCTTCCTCTAAGCTGTGGAGTCTTGTGAGCAAAAATTCTACCTTGTGAGCCACCGGTGTTAAAGTTGTGAGTGAGCAATTTGGCTGCTGCATAAATTACTTTGCTCTGGAGCCCTCCTTCCTGAGTGGAGACAAAAATGTGTGAGCCGGAGGCTAAAAAACTGTGAGCTAGCTCACACTAACTCAGCTTAGAGGGAACACTGCCGTCCATAGGATGTTCCGGGTGCTGTTTGCAAGAGAATCGTTTCTCTTGCAGCAACAGGATTTCAGTTCGCCTCTTTACAGCAGTATCTTGAATAAACATCCTGGTTTGCTGCTTTGCACATAGCAAGACACCTGCGAGATTTAGAAAGTATGGAGTCTTTGGACTAGTCTTTGTTGAATGATTGTGCCCTGTGCATGAGATTTGTATGTATTCCACATGATTTTTGAAATGGTTTATATTGTAGTACATTTATGATTATTTTGATTTTGCATTTACATTATATTATTTTTCATATTTTCATTGTATACACGTTGCTTTCTCGCCAGTTTGGTGTAGTGGTTAAGTGCGCAGACTCTAATCTGGGAGAACCGGGTTTGATTCCCCACTCCTCCACTTGCACCTGCTGGATGACCTTGGGCAAGCCGTAGTTCTCTCAGAGCTGTTCTCTCAAGAGCTCTCTCAGCCCCGCCTCCCTCACCGGGTGTCTGTTGTGGGGAGGGGAAGGGAAAGGAGTTTGTCAGCCGCTCTGAGACTCCAAGTGAAGGGCGGGGCATAAACCCAATCTCCTCTCTCTTCTTCTTCTTTGTACTCTTCCCACCGTGATTCCTGTTTTGGTTGCTGTTAGATCGGATCAGGCAAGACCGTTGGTCCCTCTAGCTCAGGGGTTCCCAACCTTGTTGAGCCTGTGGGCACCTCTGGAATTCTGGTGAGCTCCCCCTCCCTGGCAGCCTTGAAGCCGCGGCTGGACAAACACTCACAGGGATGCTCTAGGCCAGGGGCGGCCAAACCTGCTTAACCTAACAGCCACATCGAATAAGCGTCAGATGTCTGAGAGCCACAAGACGTGAACAAATATCACACACACGTTTTTATTGGGAAATATGCAAATTTGCTTTTTATTAACATTATAAATCAGACTGTGTGAAAGACCCACATGCGGCTCCCAAGCTGCAGTTTGGCCACCCCTGATCTAGGCTGATCCGGCATTGAGCCGGGGGTTGGACTAGATGGTCTTTAGGACCCCTTCCAACTCTGTGATTCTGTGAGAGGGCAGGCAGGAAGGGTTGCCTCAGGGCTTAGTTCTCGTGGCCCTTTCTTACCCACCCAGGGAAACGCCGATCGCTACTTTGGGGCCAGGAAGCAATTGTTCTCCAGGCCAATTTGGCCAGGGATCCTGGAAGTTTTTTGCCATCTTCTGGGGCGTGGAGCAGGGGGTCAGGTAGTTGTGAATTTCCTACATCGTTCAGGGGGTTGGACTAGATGACCCTGGAGGTCCCTTCCAACTCTGTGACTCTATGGTACAGAGTGGTGGGCACAGCGACAACATGGCGGCTGTGGAAGGCAGAGCCAACTACAAAATGGACACTACGGGGGCAGAGCCGCACATACAGGAAGTCCCAAGTGCAGCGGATGTGAGGAGTGATTAAAAAAAAATACACTGGGAGAGAGGAGCTCAGGAGAGAATGAAACCCAAAGCTTGTGGCCGCTGCCACTGAAACAACGTTATTTTAATCCGCACTGTCAATCAGATCTCCAGTGGCCAATCAGAAGCCCTGCTGGGCAGCAGCCTCACACAGTCCCAGCCAGTTTCTAAAACCAGTTGGCCAGTGCTGGGGAAGGTGTCAGCTGGGGCTGTGGCGCCCATGAGCACCACGTTGGGGACCCCCCTGGTCTAGCTGTTCCCTTTTTTGACTGGTACCCGGTCTCTGAGTCTTGGGCAGAGAAAGCTGGCAGATTCTTTTAACTGCCAGCGGTCGAACCTGGGACTTCTGGTGTGCAAAGCGTTTGTTCTTTTGCGGAGCTGTGACCCCACTATTGGATCCTGAAACAAGTAGTAGAGGCTGCCTCACAGGGTGCCTGTTGTGGGGAGAGGAAGGGAAGGCGATTGTCAGCCACTTTTAAGACACATGAGGCCTGCTGGGTGACCTTGGGCCAGTCACGGTTCTCTCAGG